AAGAAAGAAAACCTAATCACTAATTCAGCTGTGCCAGCCCGCGAGAGCCTAGCACAGTGCACAAGTCGCGAATAGCCAAAAAGGGTTAAAACCGATTAAGGAAGAGAAACGAGAGGAGAGAGTAGTTAAACGAAAGCTTATGGCTCAAGACATATATTGATTTAAATAGTGATATGCGTAAGCAAACGAAGAATAAGTTTGAGAAAAATGGTATTCAAACCATTCATCAATGCAGTGTACGACAAGACTACGAAAAGTGAATTAAAACGTATTAATGTTAAGTTGGTAAATAAGTGGGAAGAGTGTTATGGTACCGAATCTGTCATAGCTTGATCAAATTTCCATACTAGTGACATTTTCGATGATGAGCTGGTAACAATTCAACTCTTGCAAACGGAAGTCACAGTGAGAAAACCTATCTGCATAAGTCTTGCTGTTTGTTCACGCGATTTGTGCTCGTGCCAAACGGGCACGGGAGAAAGACAGAAAGAAAATTTTTAGAAAGTGTCAGTTCCTCAGGTTTGTCACGTCTGAATTGAGGAATTGATGCATGTGTTCGACAGGCGTACGACAGACACACTGCATGGGCCATAAACCTGAGGCAGCTGGATCGGTCTCACCCGAGGGCTGCGGAGGACCGCTTTGCTTATGTTTTTGGGCTAATTTGGTGCTCCGAGTGAGAAGTATTTAAGAACTCTATCTAAGTAGCAGTTAATTAGTTCCTCCTGAAAAGCAGAACGCTACACGGAATAGTTTTGCCCATTGTGTGTTTCCGTTGTTAAAGCCTAAGGACAAGAGTGCTTGATACCTTAGTGAGGAAGCGCTACTTCCTCGGAGTGCCTCCACGCCTGCGAACCAGTATCAGTGTTACGTCTCACGACGTATCTTTATAGATTTTTATTTTCCTAACACTAAGCAAGTTGTCCTCTCTGTATATACGAAGAGGGGTTAATAAATCTTTTCAAAATCCAAGAGATGGCGCTCGTCACACTTAAATTATGATGTTTTTGGCAAGCAATACTACGAACTAGATATCATACAAAGTTTTAGCTCGATTCATTAGGTCGTTTTTTTGTGAGCGTTGGTTGAACAAAAACTTATTGGTTTATTTGAAAAATGGAAAAAACAGAGTTTCGAGAGGTGATACAACATTTTCATTTGAAAGGCCTTACACCAAAATAAATCACAGATGAGTTGAACGCCGTTCATGCCAAGTCTGCCTCCGTGTTTAAGACTCTTTATAACTGAAATAATTTACTTGGTAAATTAATAATATTTGGTAAATGAATTTAAACGCGGCCGTACAACAACAAAAAATGAACCTCATTCAGGACGTCCCGTAGAAGTGAGTACGCCCGAAATGATCAATAAAATCGACGATATGGTGTTGAGTGATAGAAGATTAAAATTGCGAGAATTAGTTGAGACTACAGGGGTATCAAAGGGTAAAATCATTTCAATTTTGCATGAAAAATTGGGGATGAAAAAAATAGAGTAAACCAATGCAACCTCGGTGGCAATAAAAAATAAAATGTACATATACGCGATGTAAAGCAAAGTAATTGCAAAGTTTTTTGAATCAATTTACTATTACTATCTAACCTGTCTAAACTGTGTGTAAAAAAGCTTAAAACAAGACAAATAAACAATATGTAAAATCAATTCGTTAAATATTGATTTAATAAATTTCATTGATAAAATTTTTCTTACTTCCATTCCAATAGCAATAGCAATAGCAAGTGCAAAAAATCAACGAGCTCATTCAAATCATTCCAGTATAGATATCAATATCGTTTGATGTATCCTTGTAGTTAAGTAAAGATGTGTCAGTCTTTAGCTCTTGTCTTTTTTTAGATTTTTTAACCAAACTAAACAATGAATTAACTATTTTATTGAATTTGTTGCTGCTATAAGTTTATATAGCTGTATTTGGATTAGTTTTTCTCATGAATACTAGATATCACAAAATTTTGTTTGTAGCTCTTGAGATCATTTTGAAGCATTAAATTTGATTAGGTTACTTTGCCACAAGTAACTTCCTTGAGCCTTGTGTTTTTGAATATGGAAACTATCAATTTCTACATTATTTTTTTAATAATAACCGTATAAATACCCAGCATACGAGGCCTGTTTCCGATGTATCCGATTTACGTTCATAGCTTCGCTCAGTGAGAGACTCAGGCGACCTCTGGAAAGTAGAAACGTTACCAGTAACTCCTAATCTTCTCGTCAGTAGCTCGAAATACCGAGGAAACGCCGTAGTTCCCGCGCAATATGTATTTGTTTAGAACGCGTTTGTCGCAATTCATTTATTGCTAAAAATGGCTGGCTTCAATCTCGCTGAAAGTTGTGCGGAAACTATTGGAATGTTGCAAAAGGCCTTTAAAGATGAGTGTATGGGCAAAACCCAAATAAAAGAGTGGTATAGGTGGTTCAAAAGTGGCCGCACATCTGATGACAGTAATTCTGGCTCTGGTCTGGTTTTCTTCGATTATAAGGGCGTTGTGTACTACGAATATGTTCCTATAGGCTAAACAATCAACAAAAAACTCTACGTTAAAGTCTTGGAAAGATTGCATGATGCAATCAGAAGAAAACGACCAAAACCTTGTGCATCAGTATTTATTGAAACATAGTGTTGCGCAGCTCCGCCAGCCTCCATACAGTCCCGTTATAGTTTCTGCGACTTTTGGCTGATTCCTCGATTGAAAATGCCATTTAAGGGACATCGATTCGACGATAAAGAGACTGTTGAAACTAATGCGATGAATGCATTAAAGACGATTCAAAATCTGACTTTCAAGAATGCTTTAATAAGTAGAAATGTCGATATGAGCATCTTATTCTATCAAATGGAGACTACTTTGAAGGATGCTACTCCCAGCATAACGATGGTTACCAAATTAAGCGTCAAGAAATCGAGGTAAATCTGATACTTTTGGGACAGTCCTCGTATATGTCCTACTTTGTTCTTTACATTCTCTATAAATCAAGTCTGAAAAAAAGAGAATAATTTTTATCTAATGCGTGACGAGGACAAGCAGTTTTCTTGCCTTTCGTTTGCTGTCCCTCATTTTCCCGTTATTCTCAGCAAGGCATGTTGGACAGTATTAGGCACATAGTGTAAATGCAGCTAACTAGTGGCTTTCGTTTTAGTCACCGATGATTGTCAAGCAAGCCCAAAGGAGAGCACCGCAAAAACGCAGCGAAAAAAAAGCGAAAGAGCTAGAGAGAACACGCACCTATTATGCAGGTGTAGGCAAGCATACGATGCAAGACCCATAAGTGTTGCATCGTATGCTGCCTAAAAAAAAGAATTAGGTCAAGAGAGAATGTTAAGAGAGAGAGAGAGCGAGAGAGAGAGAGAAGGACACCGGTAATCGCGAGTAGGCCACGGCCGGTAGTTTTTCAGCAGTTTTTTCGCGGGCTCCTTGACGTGAAATTGAAAAGTGAGCAAGTTCGCCCGTTTGATTACAGAAAAAGAAGCAGTGTCTTGTTCGTTCGCTACAAGGAGGTTCACTAGCCCGTGTTGACAAGAGACCCTTCGTACAGAGGAATACCTCAAGTTAATTACAGACGGAACGCTTTCGTTGGTCTCGCACAAACGCCCAGCCACCACGAGGATGGAGACGTTTTAATTAGTTTTTGCCCAGTAACAAACGCCTAACTAGAGAGATTTGTATCACCCGGCAAAGTAAGAACAAAATAAAGGTTAGGTTATCACTCTTCTTGGTCTCTCTCTCTCTCTCTCTCTCTCTCTCTCTCTCTCTCTCTCTCTATCTCTCTATCTCTCTATCTCTCTCTTTCGGATTTCATTTGTTAGATTAAGTACGGTAATATTCAGTAGCCAAGCGTTCACTCTTTGGCTAAATGAGATACTTTTGTACGAGTAGCGGCTCTTCATCAACGTAGATGGTCAAGGCGATTCGGATGTCGGATAAATCACGGTTCCGTTGGTATTAATGATAAGGTCCTCACCTTCATCGTATTGTTAACAGCAATAACAAGTTTTGCGAGTTAGTTCTGTTCACATTATTTGTTTTAATAATAAATTTTGCGATTTAGTTCTGTTCATATTATTTATATTAATGGTAATTTTTTCGAGTTAATTTTGTTCATATGGTTTATATTAATAATAAGTTTTGTGTTGAATTTAAAAAGTTTGTGCACGAAATAATTTACTGATCTATCCTCCTTCCTCAACGCCCCCTTGATCGTTGAGAGCGAAAGTGCTTCTCTTAACCCCCTTAAGAAATTGGTTCAAAAGTACCATGATGACGCGTCTGACTTTGTTACCAATGTATTCATATACTGATTGCCAGTTAAATTCTCATTACCGTCGGTTCAGATAAACTGTTAACAATCTATGTAGTATCATACGTAACAGTAGCATCATTATCTTCAGCACTAAGCTGCGTTGAAGGATTTTTATAGGGCTTTATAAAGTAAAGAACTTATAGAATCAGATATATTTTTAAGCAAATAACTTGTAGAATAAGATTTTAACAATTGAAAAATTTTCAATTGATACAAAAAAGTATTCATTACTTAATTACAGAAATTTAAAAATTCTACGCAAAATATAATTCTAGACTTCAAAACTATCCAAATAAACTTTTCAACAAATTTCTCAAGACTTACATCGCCAACATCAGATTAAAAAAACATAAACTATCTAATTGCTTCTGAAAGGTTCAGATCACACATTATTTGAGAGTCAATGTCAAATCACGCATGATCTGAGAGAATGATCTTATAAAGTATCAGGTTATATTATGTTTGATCTAGGAATGTTCATTTTAAAACGCACTGGATTCAGATCATGTATGATCTGAAAGTATTGATCTCAAAATACACAGACTTAACTCAAAGATCACTGAGCTCATGCCCCCAGAGCTGATACCCCCTGACTTAAGATCTCTGCTGCATATTTACTTGTAAAGTATTATTTGTTATAGATAATTTTATAAACTAAAATATTTCGTTCGTGTAATTTTCAGATTCACCATACCGAACAATGATTAGTACGGCCATATTACATTTGCAAGAAAAAGGTGACTTGCAAGATCTGAAAAAAAAATGGTGGTCCGAAAAGGGAGGAGGACAATGTAACGATTCGAGTGAACCAGTTAATTCAAATGAATTAGGTATGCCACATGTAGGAGGTGTTTTCATCGTACTGATTTTGGGATGTTTTATATCAACTTTAATTGCAGTTATAGAGTTTTTATGGAATATTAGAAAAGTTGCTGTTGAAGAAAAGGTATTCTTTTATTTATATAAGGGAGAGATCAAATCGTACAAATCTTTAATGAAATAATAGAGATTAATTTTAAGCATAAAAATATATTTTAATTTTATATATTTTTCGACTTTGTTTTTTTATCTCGAGTCGAAAAATGCATATTTCTTGATTCGAAGTAATAAAATGAAAAATATATTTTTTTATTATTACTCCAAGTTTATTTACAATCTGTCTCACATATTGAAATAATAAACAAATTTTGTTGCTATTAGTCATATATATTTAATAAATAGCAACATACTCCAATGAGTATACTGCCTTTGTTTTACAGTATATTAATTTATTTGCGCATTCAATAGTTTATGTTTCTTCAATCTGATGTGGGTGATGTAGGTCTTGAGAAGTTTGTTGAAAAGCTTATTTGGATGGTTTTAAAGTGTGGAATTATATTTTGAATAGAATTTTTAAATTTCTTCTTTAACTGTATGTATCTGTAAATCATTTCGGATAATTTCATTCGGTATGAACCATGGGACCCGTGCTATAGTGAATAGAACTTTCAATTGAAATCTTTCCAGGATTTCAATATTCGAGTTATAAGCAGTATCCCATAGTTAAATGCCATATGTCCAGACTGATTTAAGTACAACTTTATATAGCAGCGTTTTTTTTTTCAATTGACAGCTCCTATTTCATTCCAAAGAGCTAGTACATTTTCTCCATTTTAGACTGCACTGCTTACGTTTAGTAATTATATGTTCTTTCCATGTAAGTCTTCGGTCTAAGTGAATACCTAGATATTTTACTTAATTATACCTATTATTTTAAATAAATTACTTATTATTATACCAAAACCGAAAGAAAAAAGTAGAGCTCACGATTTTGTAAAAAAGTTTAGTAAAAAAAAATTTTTAAATAAAAATTAATCACTTTAAAGATTACGGTTTCAAATGAGATAACATAGTTGTTTTTAAACTCAGTAACTTTCACTTTATTATTCAACAATAATTTTCAAAACTTGTCAATATATTATAAATCTGAAAAATAAATATATTATGTATATAACGTTATAAATATTGTAACGGGGGGATAAACCTGCAAAATGAGAAATTTATATAAGAGCAAACTCCCACGATGCAGAGCAAACCGCCGCTCCGTTAACACGTATGTTAATACGTGTATTCGCCTTAACGTCAGCTGACTTAACTTGGTTGTCTTCGATCAAGCGGAGTTGAACTCACCTTAAGTCACGTGCCCTGTGACACACGATGAGTTTTAAGTGTAATCGACTTTGCTCCTAATCCACTTAATCCCCTAGCTATGATCGGATTAAAACTTAAGCCTATTTCAATTGTTTAATCTATTAGGAAAAATTATATGACGAAATCGGCGAATAATTTTAATAGATTTTATTAATAAAAATTTCTACAGTCTTTATCGGGCCGAAAGACTGACGCACGCGAACAGGATTTACAATTAAATAACTTTCGGTGAGAAAGAGAGAGAGAGAGAAGATACGAAAATTGGCGCGATCTAACGCTCGGCGCGAATACAAAATTATCAACGCTAACGCGGCTGAACAAAATAATAAATATATTTTGACACGCGATAATAAAGGGAGGTGCACCTACCCTGCGGTGCAATTACGGTGATCAGCCGTAATTGTTGATGTCAGCAAAATATCAACTGCCTCCGGTCCTAGGTTATCAGCTGTGCTGCCTCGTACCACCTATCAGCTGCAAATCTGCTGCTACCAAAACGCTGCAATCCGTAGGTCTCGTTGTTGCACTCACGCGCGTAATTATTATGGACAAGAAACTATTAGTCGGCGAGAAAAAATAGTGCAAATAACTTCGGCGATATCTACTTGTCACAACAGCTGAGACGTAACTGCTAATTTGAAAGATCGCGCGCCCCCTCTCTCTCTCAATACTTAGAACTAACGCGCGAAAATCAGAATCGCGAACGGTTCGATTAATTGAATCGACTACCGTTGCAATATACAATATAACTAGATCATAGTTTTTAACACCTACCACTTTTTATCAGTTTTTTCTCTTATCACTCTTGTTAGTTCATCGTCATTTTTTTTGCAATCCATTTGTAACATTCTTCAAAAACTTTACTTTCATCATGAAATAAATATTCGATATATACATCGAAAACATTCGCTTGTCAGTAGGTACATTGAACTGACTGCGTGCTCTGCTTACCGAAGCTCAAGCCACACTCAAAATGTTTGTTTACATGCGGACACATGAAATTACCTGCGATCAGCATTTACACCAGTTCAAAAGAAATATATTTGTGTCGGATATAAATAAATTTATTTATAAACAATGCCTCTAAATAAAAAAAATTTTTTCTACATTACACAAATTTAAAATTTTTTTTGTTCGCTCTTATCTCAATCCCATATGATATTAATTTTGAAATCTTTTGATATATATTTTCTCACACAACGACGTAAAGTTGGCAGGTATGTTCAAGTATTTATCTGTTATACTTTACACGTGCAAATAAAAAACTAATTTTTTCTATCGAGTGAATAATAGAGTACTCACATTTTGAATCTCTCTAAATTTTTACCTAAAAGTCTCATATTAAAAAATAAAACAGATGTAATTAGAGTTTCTTAAAGAGTAACGAAAAAAAAATTACATCCGGTTATAGAAAAAGTTATTTTTTTAATTTGACTAAAACCGACTTTTTTTAAATATTGAAAAATGCAGTTTCCTGTACATTTAAATTGATTTTTTCACTCTGAGACTAGGCACACTTAAGAAAACTATTTCGTTGCAATAAACAAGCCTAGACTATAGTAAAATAATTTTATTAGATTTTTTGAAAACGACTTATTTTTATAATGGCCTTAAGAAAAAAAAATTATGTGGCAGTTCTTTTTAAAATTAATCAAAAATTAGAATATTCCATTTTTTTGCGGGAAGTTATTAAATCTTGATCATAACGTGAATAGAGTAATCTCATTTTATCATTATATTCTCTTTTAGAAAATATTTTTTAATGTTGTGAAAAACTTCCTGGTCATGCTCAAATATAACGGTTTCTCGAAAGTTAAAAGTTTCGTGGATTTCCTGATGTATGTGTTACAACGGTAGTCAATTCAATTAATCGATCCGTTCGCGATTCTGCTTCTCACGCGTTAGTTCGAACTTAATTAAGAGAGAGAGAGGGGGGGCGCGCGATCTTTTGAGTAAGCAGTTACGCCTCAGCTGTTTACGTGTTGATACCGCCGATTTTGTTTTGCACCTGGTTTCGCCGAGTGATTATAAGTTTTACTGGGACAATTACGTGCGTGTGTGCTACGACGGTATTGTATCAGCAAGCAGCGGTAAGGAAGCAGCAGATTGCAGCGGATAAAAGGAGATCTAGGCAGCGCAGCTAATAATTTGGAGGGCAGCGGGAGTTGATTCAGTATCTTGAACAATTACGGCTGATCACCGTAATTGCACCGCAGGGTAGGTGCACCTCCCTTCATTACCGCGTGACAAAATACATTTAGTATTTTGTCAATCATAATAGCGATATTTTTTTTTGTTTTCGCGCCGAGAGTTAGTTCGCCGTAAAATTCGAATTTTCCCTCTCTCTCTCTCTCTCTCTCTCCGAACATTATTCATTGTAAATCCTATTCGCGTGCGTTAGTCTTTCGGCCCAACTAAGACTGTAGTGATTTTTTATTAATTAATGTCAGTTGAATTTATTCGTTGATTACGTCATTTAATTTTCCCATTAACTTAAGTAATTGTAAAAGGCTTAGGTTTTAATCCGATAACATCTAAGGGATTAAGCGGATTAGGCGTAAAGTCGCTCACACTTAAAATTCATCAAGTGTCACAAGGTACGTGAATTAAGGTGAGTTTAACTCCATTCAACAGAAGACAATTAAGCAAAATCATCTGACGTAAAGGCGAATTCACGTACAATCATACGTGTTTAACGGAGCGGCGGTTTGCTCTGCATCGTGGCAGTTTGTTCTTAAATAAATTTCTCATTTTTTTAGATAACCGCTCCCGCTACAGCATATATATATATATATATATATATATACAGTTTAATCCAATAGGAGGACAAATATTTTTTGGAAGTGTGAATATCGTAGATATTGATTTACTTTCATTTACTATTATTCTCCAGGAGTTGAACCAATTTCAAAAGAGATTTTTTATATAGTTTTGTAGTGTTTTGATTGTTTTTGGAGCCTCTAGGTATACTGTTAATATTTCTGTATCATCTACACTACCATCCATAAAGATTTGCCATCCCCTTGCTGAAATCATCAAAACTTTAGAGTTTTATAGCTCAGTTTCTATAAGAGCTAGAAAATCCTTCAGGGTCTCATTTGAAAGGTCTTGGCAAGAAATTTAAAATGTTGTAGAACATAATTAATTTTATTTGTTTTTTGTACAACTTGTGACGTCATAAACAAATTGTTTTTTTTTTAATTTTTTCACATCAACTTCGACCCCGATTTATTTATATAAGGGATTCTACGATGGAAAAACTGTATAAGCCATTCGATAGAGCTTCCAAAAAGCTACAAAATCCATATCCGGAAAATTTTTTTACCTTTATTTTTTATGAGCTATATGGTGTTTTATACAAAAACAAAGATTTTCAAAAAATGGACTGTATTTTTTTTATTTTCAACTCTAAAGAAAAAACTCTCAGAAGAAAAAATGTAGTATTTTGCAAGAGCTATCAAATGCGCCACTCAGAATTAAAAAAAAAAATTTTTTTTTTAATGTTTTTTACAATTGAAATTTTTCTAGAAAAAAAACTGAAATTACATATATTTAATAAAATTATTAAGTAACTAGTATCTATAACTGAATGGGCTTACAAACAATGATAACAAGATACATTTATTGAACCATAATTTATTACTTACTCAGAATAGATTAACATAACTTGGTTACAATTTTTCTACTAAATTTATTTATGACAACGTTTCAATAATAACATAACAATAATAATTTCATTTTTTATAATACTAATAA